TAAATCCAATAATTTATCTGTGTTATTAATTACTCTGGAAAATTCCTTTAAACAAAGATTATTATTTAAAAATTAAAATATCCAAGTTTTCTTACTTAGCATTCTTATTTCCAATATTAATTAATCACCTGTAAAATTTTCCTCGCCTGATTCATATTGTTATTAATTGTTGTAACCATTTCACTCACCTTAACTACTCATTATGTAGGTTATGTGTAAAATTATCATCAATAATATAATCTTGTGTTCTTGTAGGTGTAGTTTCCATATCAATTATATTACTATTGTTAATAGTATCACTGTTATTATTATTTTCTATATCTTTCTTATTATTTTTATAGGTAGTAAATTTTGTAACTTTTGGTTTTTGAATTGTAGTATTCACCAACATCAGAGAGCAAAAATGGATTAGTATTATCATTATTTAAAAAAAAATTTATCACTAAAGTCTTCTTTTCTAAGAATGGTTGGTGTTTTATAAATATCACATTATCCATCTTTCATGTATATTTTCAAAAAAATAATAAAAAGGAATGAAAAAAACGCGTAATTGTTTCTAATTTGGTAAATGATACCCTCGTTTTTGTTAGTATTGGAAAATGCTACACGCATTAATTATTATGCAAGGTATCATATTAATAATACTAGCAATTGGCAATAGCAGGCGGCTACCATAATCGTAGCACATATAAAAAGAATTTTTTTTATCGCTATTATTATTATTACTGTCTATTCACTATCTTCGTTGATTCTGGTATCTTTACTTTCGTTTCCATGGAAGCAACCTGTTCTATGTTTTTTATATATCTAGAAAAACATCATCATATTACTTTATTATCAACTGATATTTTTGTCTAGGGAATGTGTTTGTAATTTTGTATATAATAACACTATTATAATTGTACATATCAATTAAATTCTAATAATAAACAAAATAACAATACATTATGAAAGTTCAATGGAAAGTAATAAAGGGTTTTCCAACAAGTTCTTCCATGTTTCTGAAAATCTAGCAATGGTTGCTCCATCAATTACTCGATGATCAGCACTAAAACTTACCGTTAAAACATTTTTAGCAACCAATTTCTCATAAATGCCACCACTAGATCCATCTCTAATATTCTCATATCTAGGCAACTTTTGTATTTTACCAATTGCAACAATACATACTTCAGATGAAACTATGACAGGCGAAAGATATGTTCCTCCAATAATACCAATATTTGATAATGTTATTGTACCATTCTGAAAGTCTGTTGGACGGATTGAATTAGTTTTACCAGCTTCTTGTAACCTCTTCAATTCGTTGGCTATATCCAGTATAGATTTTCCTTGGACATTTTTAATATTTGGCACTAAAAGTCCTCCCGGGGTATCCATTGCAACACCTATATTATGTGAACTACGATATTTAAGTTTTGCATTTGACATATTATCGTCTTCATAATCTATCAATGATGAATTAAGTATTGGAAACCTCTGCAATGCAGCCGAAAAGGTTTTGATAAATATTGGCATAAAAGATATTTTGTCAAAAGAATATTGATTCTTATTGTTACTGATATGTTCATTAATTGATTTACGAAAGTTTATAACATTGTCCATAATATATTCATCTGAATAACCAAAATGTGGTATCTTGAGCGATTTCGTCATGGTTTTAAACATTGATTTTTGAACATGTGAAAGCGGTATAATTTTATCTTCAGAAATTGGAGTAGTAATAATTGGCTGTGATGATGGTAGTGATTGTATTATATTATTGTCAATTATTTTATCATTGATATAATTAATTACATCCTCTTTTGTAACACGCCCATCTTTACCTGTGCCTTTGATATTTGAAATATCTATATTGTTTTCACGTGCAATTCGTCTTACTGCTGGTGTTGCCAGAGTTAAGTATTTGTTGGCATCACCTTTTACTAGACTTGGTGACTTTAATGATATTGATTCTACTGTGGTTAAAGTAACACTACTACTAATAACGTCACTAGATTTTAATGAAGTGTCATCCTTTAATTCTTCAGATTGGTGCAATTCCTCTGGAACATCTTCCACCTCTATATCAACTATTGGATTACCAACTCTTGCCATATCTCCAACTTTATAATGTAAATTTTTAACCACGCCCATGTAACGTGATGTTATCTCAACAGATGCCTTATCTGATTGCACTTCACATAATTTATCAAATTCAGAAATGTGATCACCAGGTTGAACAAACCTTTTTTTTAAAAAAGACATCATTAGGTTTAATAAAAATTATAAACTTATAATTAACCAAAATCATTATAAATAGCTCTCATACCATTGTACTATTTCACATTCAGTAATACCTTCACCAATATCTGCCAATAAGTAAGGCATCAAAACATTATATGATTGCGATGTATGAAAGCCATGAACAAAATAATTTAAAGTAAAGGATCTTGTTTTTTTTACATCATTTTCAATAATTAAATTAGTTGCCATAATTGGTTTTGTATTAAAAATTTTTGATTCATACACCTATGTCATATTATATTATAAAAGTTAAAACCATTGGTAAAAAAATACAATTTCTTAAACTGACTTACCATCAATGATGATTTTTTTTCATGAAACCTTAAAAATTGATATGAAATATTCTTGTAGAGTTTTGGAGGAACCTACTAAATTAATTATTATTTTTTAATAAAAAAAACCACTTGATATTTATTAATTATTTATCAATCTTCTTTTTTTCAACTTAACATATATTCCATATTAGTAAGTATAACAATAATATAACTCACCCTAAGATTGGTTCCTTTCAAAATTGACAAAGGAATCTTGTTGAAAATACGCATTTTGTTAAAAATATACATAAAAAAAAAGAAAAAAATTGATGATCAATTCGAATTCGTGATCGTGATCTCAAAAAAAAAAATTTTTTTTCTTGAATAAATGATGTATTGTGAATGTATAAAAAAATGAGAAAAAACTTTTCAAATAACTTATTATTATTAAATTGTTACTCGCCGGCATCAATTTTTATAAAACAACAACAACCAAAAACAATAAACTCGATATTTAAATATAATTTTTCAAGAAATTATTGCAATTTATTATTTAATAAAAGAGCACCAAATTTAATAGAAAGAAAATATCAAGTAAATGTGACTGGAGGTTTTTTCCACATAAATAAAAACAGTTTAAGGTTAATACACGGTTTGGGTATGTCAAAAGTAGGTGGAAAAAAACAATTAAATGGAAATAATGAAGACACAATTTTTCTATCTAATTAATATATATTATTTGGTTAATAGATTTATTTTTTAATAAAATATTTTTATTTGATGTTTTTATTTTAATTAGTTGATAAAAATTTAAGTTTTGAACTTGGAGAAGAACTCAATTACCATGTAAAAGATTCATTATCAAATATCGAAAAAATATCTATAGATCACTTTATATGGGATGTAAATATCATTAAGACTTACTACTTTATCATAAATTTTAAAGAAATAATATTTAAGAAAGTTTTTCTTTATAATTTTTTTTTAGTTACAAGATCATAGAGGACATAATGAAGTTGTATTAAGTCGCAAACCTGGTGATGACGAAAAGTAAGTTATTGATCAATTAATTGATGTTGTTGGACCGATCCTCGATAACTTTTTTATTTTTATTTTTTTTTTCAATAGGATTCGGCTAGTTTTTAATATTTTATCTACGGATTCTTTAAATGATGATGATACATTTAATTCTATTAAAACAAATCAAAAAGAAAATACGATAGAGAGTAAGAATCAGGATGATGGAGAGGATGATGATGATGATGATGATGATGATGATGATGATGATGATGATGATGATGAAAAAGATGTAAATGTAAATAAAGGAGTAAAATATGATTTAAATGAAGAACAAAGACAAAATATTGAGAAATTAAAAGGGGTTTGTTTTAAAATTTAAAATTTATTAATATATATAATATAAATGATGAACAAACAAGTAACAGATAGGGACATCTGAGCAAAATAATTCTTTGTGCTGAGTCTTACTTTGGAATAAAATTTCTCTGATATATTTATAAAGATTATCAATTATTGGCAAAAATTTCTTTAATTATTTAATAGTTTAAATAAAACGTTTAAATTTTTTCTAATTAATTATAAAAAAATATGTCAGAAGGAGGAAATATCTGAAGAAGATGATAAGGATGAGGATGAGGAGGAGGAAAAAAATAACAATTTAAAGCCCATAAGATGTGTTATAACCATTGAAAAGGTTTGTTATTAAAATTTTAATTTTTACTTTTTTTGTTAAGAAGAATAAATTAAAAAAATTATTAAAATATAATTATACTATGATAGAAAAATAAAAGTGTATTAGCATTTGAAACCATTGTACAACAAGACAAATTTCTTCTTGAAATCATTACATATTATGAAAACCATAAATCCAATCATGGAATAAAGTATATTAACCTAAATAAAGTAAGCCAATTCCTTATTATTATTATTATTATTTTATTTTTATCTTTGGATAAATATGTCCCATTCATGCATTTTCTATTATTACTTTTTTTTCAATAGGATTTAAGATTATCATTTAAAAAATATTTAAAAATATATGGCATAAATAAGAATTTAGCAATATTTATTACAAAATATTACAGATATAAAGAAGATCAAGAATACATCGAATGGTTGGAAAATTTAAAAGCTTTTGTCGATAATTAGCATTCATTCACTAATATATATATATATATATGATGGACTGGTTGATCGGATAAAAATAAAACTTCTGATTGCACAAAATCTGTCTAAAATTTAGATTAATTTCATTTCCTACCAATTAATTTTCTAAATAATGAAATACTAGGGCTAACAATTTTCTCGGCAGCCCGAGGTGTCATCCACACACAAGCTGCTATACGTAATGGCATTATTGACTATTAAGAAAATCCCATAATTAATTTTCTACAATAATAAAAATTTACAGAAAAATCTTTTTTGAAGAAAAAATATAAATGTATAAAAAAACCTTGACAATAGCATAACTAGTGGCCAAATTCAATGCAACTTTACTACCATTTTCTAATGGTTCGTATCCATAATATGTTACAACTCGATTAATAAACCTATTACCTTCATCTAATATTTGTTGTGGAAAAGGCACTTGTAAGCCTGTGGTATCTAACGCAATATACACAATAGGAATTGGAATCACAGCTGTTATTTCATGTAAAAATGCAAAAGTAAAAAGGTATGAAGCAGGTTTTGAACGAAATTGTTGTGCATATTTTCTCCAGCCTTTTACTGATGATGATGTTAGTGTTCGAGTCGAAGAAATAATATTGTTATTATTATTATAATAATAATTATTAAATAATTTATATTTATAAAAATATTTAGAAAATAATTTATCTTTATAATGATTATTATTAAAAAATGATTTTATCGTTTTAAAAGAATTCATATTTTTTTAATATTAAACAAGATTTTTTAAAAATCCGTCGATCACGTATATATAAAAGGAACAAAAATTTTTTTTTTAAAAGAATCATTAGATCTAAAATTTACTTATTTCAAAAAAAAAATAATAGTTTATAAATAATTTTAAATCAAGATGTCTACAGTTATAGATAAAATAAAAGAAAGTAATGACATATCTTTATTTTTCCAAGTTCTATTATTGTTATCAATTTTTTTAAAAATTTATCGTTTTTTTTTTAAAAAGAAAATGTTGCAAATTTTTTTCTATAGTTGAGACTGAAATGGCCCGTACACAAAAGAATAAAGCTACGTCTTATCACTTGGGCACATTAAAAGCAAAACTAGCAAAATTGCGTAGAGAACTTTTAACACCTACTGGTGGAGGTGGTGGAGGTGGAGGCGGTATGTTTCTAAAGATGTTATATTAGAGTGAGAATAAATTTCCTATATAAATATAAAATTTTATTATTAAGCAAAGTTTTTTTATTGATCTTATTATCAAAGTTCACTACACTAATAACTAAAATGATATAATTTAGTCGGTTTCGATGTTGCTAAAACCGGTGTTGCCAGAGTTGGTTTTGTTGGTATTTAAAGTTTTATTTTTTTTATATATACTATATTTGTGTTTATATATCTATATATGTTTATCTATAATTTTTCAATAAATAAAAAAAAAAATCATGGATTAATTTAATAAATAATAATAATTTTAGGATTTCCTTCTGTGGGCAAATCAACTTTAATGTCGAAATTGACTGGTACATTTTCTGCCGTAGCAGCTTATGAATTTACAACATTAACCACAGTACCAGGTGTACTTCAATACAAGGGAGCAAAAGTTCAAATTCTAGATTTACCAGGAATAGTTGAAGGTGCAAAAGATGGTCGTGGTCGTGGTCGACAAGTAATTGCAGTGGCACGAACATGTTCATTGATCTTTCTTGTGCTTGATGTATTGAAACCTTTAACTGACAAAAAAATTATTGAAACCGAATTGGAAGGTTTTGGTATTAGGCTAAACAAGAAACCTCCTAATATATATTTTAAGAAAAAAGAGAAAGGTGGCATAAATATGACAAATACTGTTCCTTTAACTTATTTGGAATTGGATCAAGTTAAGGCTGTGTTAAGTGAATATAGAATTCATAATGCTGACATTACCTTCAAATGTGATGCCACTGTTGATGATTTAATAGATGTAATTGAAGGTCGCATCTATATCCCTGCTATATATGTTCTTAATAAGGTATTTCATATGTTTTTTCCCTAAAAAAAAACTTGGATAATACAATATTTAGTATTTAAAAATTCGATTTTTGTAGATTGATCAAATTAGCATAGAGGAATTAGATTTAATTTATAGGATTCCACATGCTGTTCCAGTTTCTGCTCACCATGTAAAGTTATAACAATTTTTAATGGAATTTTTTTCTTTTAAATTTTTATATTAGATAATATTAATATCCAAATTTAAATTTAGGAATGGAACTTTGATGAATTGTTGGAAAAAATGTGGGAATACCTTGATTTAATTAGAATGTATGGATTATTATTATAATTAAATAACATTTTCATGCAACAACTTATATATATATATATATTTATTTATTTATTTATTTATTTATATTTATTCGTTTATTTATTCATTTATTGATATAGATATACAAAACCTAAAGGACAATTACCTGATTATTCAGCACCAGTTGTATTACGTCAAAATGCACGTTCAATTGAAGATTTTTGTAATAGTATTCATAAAGGAATTGTTAAACAGTTTAAATAGTAAGTATATAAAAATCAATTAAAGCTAAGTGATTTAAAAATGATTTCTACGTCTAATTACTAATAAAAATTAATAATAACTACATTAGTGCTTTAGTATGGGGTAGTTCTGCAAAACATCAACCTCAAAAGGTTGGTTTAACTCATGTATTAAACGATGAAGATGTAGTTCAATTAGTGAAACAATAATATTCCCCACTTTTTAAATCATATCTTATTTATTTAATTTTAAGGAAAAAAATTGGTATTCTTGATATAGTAAATATTTTCATAAAATTTAATTTCATATATATATTATATATTACAAAATTAAAAATCAAAATCAAAAACATAAAACTGTGCATCTCTTAATTTCATTATCTCAATTCTTTTAACACATTTTTATTACTCATCTTTGGGATGATACTAATTTACTCCATTAACAATCATCATGCCAATTTATCTTGGTAGCTCGATTTGATGGTCTTTTTACCTAATACTCTCATATTTACTTTTTAAATTTAAATTTAGCATTTATTTGGCTATGCATTTATAGGTTGAGCAAGAATAACTCTATCGGGCAATCCCGATAAAAAATGTCTAATGTTTACCACCATCAAGTTTGAAATAATGAAAATCTTTGTGATCATCATCCTGTTGGTAAATCCAAATTTGAGATTAAACGACTAATTACAATATTTTTAATTATCCACACCCCCGCTTTTGCTTACATAAAAGTGCACAAATATTATGTTTTAAACATATTATGAAATACAATTAATTGTAACTATTTTTAATCTAATACTGACGTTTTAAAGCAATAATGGTACGTAATAATAGTAGTACTAAAAAATGATTAAAAATCAAAATTGAAATAATAAAGAATAAAGACAGAATGGGTTCTTCATCGTCAGTTACCACGATTTGTATTCGAATAGAATGTAATAAACCATGTTTTGTCGAAACAAATGGAAGAAAGCATCCATTTTGTGGGAAAACGTGTGCAAAAATTTTTATCGATTCAAACTTGTCAAAGTGCTCTAATGCAAATTGTAATCGAAACAAATTTATTGATCCTTCTGACCAAAAAGTATATGACTATTGTGGAAAAACATGTGCAAGAAATACGATTCACAATAGCAGCAACAACAGCAACGACAACAACAGGATTTGTTCTCGCGAAAATTGTTCAAAACGTGCCTACGTTGACCTGAAAGATTCGACAAAATACTATTCATACTGCTCTTCTAACTGTTACTGGTTGGAAACTACAACACTTACGCAAACAAAATTAACATTGTTGGCTCCAGACGATTTGGATTACGATGTGGCAAAAAGACCATTTCTTAACGGAATCCCAAGTGCAAAAATTCATGGGATTATTCGAATCCAAATGCCAAAAATTATCGTTGACGCACATCAAATTTTGAAAAAACAACCCGGTTTAAAATCATATAAATTATTTCATGGCACTAAAACCACTTGTGATCCAATGAATATTACAAGATGTTTGAAAACTATTTGTAATACTAGCGTTAATAATAATTGTGGTGTATGTGGTATAATTACCAAAGGCAATGATACAACCTGCTCTAGATATGGTGGAACTATGTGGTTCGCACAATCTTCAAACACATCTTTGTGTTATTGTTCCGTTGATAAGGGAAATAAAGCGATGTTTCTTCTTGACGTTTTGTCGAATAATTCACCAGATCCTGGATTTTTGACCGTTAATCAGAATGCGGTAAATTTATATATAAATTTATTTTCTTTTTTTTTAAATTTCGTAATTAATTTTTATTATTTTAGGCCACTCTCCCACGTTATCTGTTTATTTTTTCAACGCATTAGAAAAAAATATTCTTTTTTTATCGTTTAAAAATAAGTATTCATACAAATTTATTTTGCTATATATTTGATTTGTTACATAAATTTTTTTTGTAATATACATAAATAATATATAAAATATACAGTTATTTTGCTAAAAGTTAATAAGTTCATTTATAATTTATAAATTTCTAAAATAATATATATAAATATACAAAGCCATTCGGCTAAAATGTTAATAAGATTCATTATGACATATTTCTTAACCATCAAGCAATTCTCCAAAATCTTGATTGTTATCTTTTTTTTCCTTGTCAGTAACATCCCCTAAAAATTTTTCTTTTTCTTGAAGATTATTATTCTTTTGGCCATTACTACTTGAACTATTTAAATTACCACTAGTACCATTTGAATTAATCAAAGGTCCTTTACAATTATCATTTTTATCACTTGAATTTTGGTGTTGTTGATTTGAATCTTTGCTCTGATTATTATTATCGTTATTATTTTTTGGTTTTTTTTGTTCATCTAGAATTTTGGTTTTCTTGTCCTGTGGAACATGTGAAGAGGAGGAGGAGTTATCGTTTTGATTTTGACTATGATTTTTACTTTGATTTTCTTTTTGTCGATTAGTTGAACTATGATTTTCAATTACATTTTTCAATATATTATTTATAACATTATTACTATTATTATTTTTTGAAGGTATTTTTTCCTCCTCTTCTTCCGAACTTTCTTGAGAACTTATAACAGACTGAGGGCAAATCTTTGCATAAGCGAGAATTTCACTTTTACTACCTTTATTATTATTGTTGACAACCTTAAGATTCGTTCCAATTAAAGGAAAGAAACAAACATTCACAACATAATCATCCGAGGAATCATCATCCCATGCACCTTTCATAAATTCTGGCATGATCTTATCATTATGTTTAAACCAGTACAATTCATATTTTTGTTCATGTGTCAATAAACGAAATTTGAAAATTCTAACAATTTCTTTAATAAGATTCTCTGCCATATTTTCTGTGTAATTTTTCTTGTTTGCATCATTTATTTGACGATATTCAGCCATTAATGCGTTGAGTTTTTGTACTGTGGATGATATGAATGGATGTTTTGATGATTGAGGTTGTTTATCATTATCACTATCATTATCACTATCACTACTAATACTACTATTATCATTTTCATCCCTAATTTCAGAGAATCCATATTCACCTAATAAACCATAAACTTGTCCACGAATTTTTGTTGTAGTAGTAGATTTGTTATTCCTTTTTTTATTATCTTTAATTAAATGATTATCATGAAATTCATCAAGAAGATTTAATAATTTATCTGTATGATTCATGATTTGTTTTTCTTGATTGCAAGGATGATCATTACTAACGTTATTAAGATATTCATCCACATATTCGAGCACTTTTTCCAACACATAACGTTGTAAAACTGATTTCATCAAAATTTTATCTTTAATTGTATGTTTTTTAATTTTTAAATTGTATCTTTTAAATAATTCTATAATTTTCTCATTATTAATCACCACAGCACCTTTTAAAGTGGTAACATATTTCTCAATCTTTTCATGTAAAGTAATTAAATCATTAGTAAGTTGAACTGAACTATTCCTACCATCTTCATTTCTCATATTGTAATCTGCTGATTGATATGATGAAGCCTCTTTTCTTAACTTTTCATTTTTATCTTCTAATTCACCATACGATTTTTTCAATTCTCTAATTATATTAATTTTGTTTTGATTATCTGTTTCAAGCTCGCTGATCTTTTTTTCTGCGTGAGTTATAGATTGTTGTAATTTATTATTTTCTGCATTAAACACACTATGAGCATTTAATAAATCTTTTTTAATATTATCATTAGTTTCTTTAAGTTTTGGAACAACTTTTTGCTGATATTCAATTAATTCGTTACGATAAAGCTCTCTTTCTTGTCGTAATTTTTTAACTTCTTCCTTATATTTTGGTTCAATTTCCCGTTGGTAACTGATAAGTTTATTACGATAATGTTCTGCTTCTTGATTTAATTTATCACTATTTTCTTTTAACTTATTGATAATTTCTACTAATTTGTTAACATGTTCATTATGCTTTGCTTCAATTGCTTGTTTACATTTAGCAAATTCATTCTTATAATTATCATTTTCTTCAGCCAACTTTTCATTTTCTGCTTCAATAATTTTATTTTTTTCAATAATTTCTAATAATTGCTTTACCAGCTCAGCATCCATATTTTTTTATTTCTATGGAAGAAGAACGTTGTTGAATAAAATCACTAAATATGGAGGATGATCCCAAGAAATATGCAATAGTGCTGATCCATTCATTTTTATTTTAACTAGAATGGCTAGAATGGCTACATTAAAATATCGAAAAAACTTTTATTAAAGTGATTTCTAGGTTTAAATTTTAAGATGAACTTGTTTACAAATTAAAATTGGTACACTAAAAATTAAGACACGTCCAATTTATTTTGTAAAAAATTACTTGCTTTTTAATTGAACATCTACTATATTTAAAAAAACCCGACATTTATTTTTTTTTAAATAATTAAATTTCTTGATTTCTAATTCATGTTTACCATTATAAATAATTCAAAGTTGAATTTGATGTTTATTAAAAAAAACATAGGATTGATAAACCCGTCTTTAGAATTACACCTTTCCCTTTGCACCTTACTTTGCAATTATCTGCATAATGTCCTTCATTTGAACACTTGTCTAGGTGGTGTGGATTTATATTCAAGTATTTGGAAACTAAACGATCATAGTATCCACAACGAATATATTAACGCGCATGTATAGATGTCTTATATGGGCTATTTTCATCACTTAAAGGTACATCAGAACAGGAAAACTTGGCCTTGCATTATTATTGTTATATGATGATGATGGTTTGTTATTAATACACACACAAGATGATTCCAA